ACCTCCGGCCTAATACTTGTCCACTGAAAAAAAAAAAAAAACCCAGCAAATTAGAATAAGTGTTGTGGTGTTTATTATGTATTCTGTAGGTTCCAGAGACTGAAATAACTGCAAGGAAAAGTGAAGGGACGTGCATTTCAGACTTTGTTCAGACAGGAATAGAAGCGTACCATTTCTACTAGCACTGGTAACCCTACAGCTAAATAAATGAATCTGAGAGTGAAGCACCACACCATGGGTTGATCCAGACACGCCCATATCAAATATATATAGATTCCATATAAAATCAGGTGGAAAACTATTCAAGAAAGCCAATGTGAAGCTGATATGGGACCTTCTCTGTGGAGTTCATGAGGATTCTGAGGTTGAGCAGACATGGATACGTGATCTAAGTGGATCTGAGATTACGCTGCATAAACCAGCCGCTGATCTGCTCCACAACCCATACCAGACAGATATTCTCTTCTTATTGTTAAGCCCTGATAAAGAGGGTGAGTTTTGCCCCCTGAAACACATTGACTTTCTTGAATAGTTTTCCACCTGATTTTATATGGAATCTATATATATTTTATATGGGTGCGTCTGGATCAACCCATGGTGTGGTACTTCACTCTCAGATCCATTTATTTGCACTACAAATGTGGGAACTCCTTTGGTGTGTAGAAGTTGACAGCCAAGAATGGAGACCCCCCCCCCCCTGCACCACTATTGGATAGTAACACCATTAGGCCAATTCCAGAGTTCTAGTGCTACCTCTCTGTAGAGCTCACCCCCTTGAGGGACGCTGAATTTCATGGGTCCCCCTTAAGCTCTGCACAGCCAGGCAACACGCCTTTTCCACATCTTCACACATAGTCAGTAGAACAGTCCTTGAGCTTAGATTTGTTGCTTTATTAGGGGTTAACAATTTATGTGGGGGCTAATACGGGATGTCCAAGGAACTGTAAAACATGAGGACTACTTTTCAGCAAACACTGTACAAAAATGTGGAAAAAAAATACCAACTGTCTCTTTAAGGAGCACTGATGTTCCCTTTGGTGTACCTCCTCAGACCACAGATGAATCCATCCTCATTAACCCAGCTGTTCTGAAGGTTATCCTTGGTCAAGGGATTCCAAGATCTGTAGCTAAGTAGTCCCAGATGAGAACTAGTTGGGTATTGCACCTGACTGCCCTCTCCCTTCTCTGGCCCAGGGGGGATAGAAGCACTTACACTGTCCTGTTAGCTTGATGGGTTGCAGCTGTTTTCAGGCCTTACACTGGGCTGGCTCCTTCCCTGCTGACAAGATGTCTTCCCTAGGAGACTTGTGGCCCCTTGAAGATCCTTTCATCCAGCACCAGCCTGTGGGTAGCCTCTCCCCTTACTGGGGGCTCCATTCTCCAGCACCTTCTCTCAGTCCATCTTCCACCCGACTCCCCTGCTGCACAGGCTCTGCCACATTTAAGGGTTGCTCTTAGCCACCATGCCTGGTCTCCTGCCTGGTGACTGGCCATGTTCCCTTAAACATGCAAATCTAGGTTTACTCCCCTCCTCTGCCCTCTTCTATAAAGTTCCTCCAGTTTCTAGAAGGGTGGGGGAGGGCTCCAGAAGCCCTGACCTGTAGAGCCTCCCAGCCTTTCCTGAGGTGACCTGTCTACCTCACTCCCAGGCTGACTCATCCCATGCATGACAAGCCTCTGACTCAAAAAAATAACAAATCCTATCTAAATAAACCCAGAGTGCACTACATATCTATTCCACTGTAGAGACATGCTCTATCTGCAGATGTGTTTTGGTCCAACTCTGACAATAAACAGGTTGCTTGAGTGTTTTCTATTTGAGCTATACAGAAGGAAGATGTAATGCACTTCATTCCTAAATAGCCTTAACAAGAATACTTGTGCAACCCAAGCATTGGTCCGTTAGGTGCCTGTAAACCACAAGATGTGCCAATTATAAGACCCAGTGAGAGCTCTGTGAAAATGTGGAATAGCCTCAAGAGTTGGTTGTGGCCAGCTCAGTGGATTGCTGTAGGAAAGTCCTGGATTCTTTCTTGGATACACAGAATATAACTGGATATAACATTAATAGGGAAAGTTGATCCAGGGAATATCCGATTGCCTCTCGGGGGATCAGGAAGGAATGTTTTCCCCTGCAGGAGCAAATTGGATCGTGCTTTGCTGGATTTTTTGCCTTCCTCTGGATCAACTGTGGGTGTAGGATTATAACTTTTTTTTTTCTATGGTTGAACTGGATGGACTTTTGTCTTTTTTCAGCCAGACTAACTATGTCATGTTGAAAACTAATCCACAACCTGGAAATTAGTGTTTTGAGGAGGAGTCGACACCTGGTCGCCCCCATTCTCCATCCACATAGGTATGCCCAGGAACATCAATGAAAATGACTTACTCTCTGGTCTCCAGGGTGATGATGATGAGGATCGGTCTTCTGTTCATCCCCCCAACACAGCTGCTGTGTTACACATGAAGTTGTACAGGATGGTAGTATACTCTGTTCCCACCTAACGAAGAAAAGAAATCAATCTATACACATACATGCATCACACGGCATACCTCCCATCAGCATTGTACAATAGAAATGTGGATCTATATAAAATACACAATGCCCTATTGTAAGGTAAACCAGATTCTCAGGAAACCAGCGCAGATACGCATTGCACTGCAGCTCGTGCTTCTTGGCGAAAGGGCAACTTCAGACGTGCTATGGTGACCCGGCGCACGAGCGTGCTTGCAGCAATTGTGCGCACTGAGAACCCAGCACCGTTTTGAAAATGGATGTGTCACTGGAGGAAGTTACTGAATGGTCTTCAGCTTGTTCCGTGTGTCCTGCGACCTGATCCGTTGTATTTGCCCACCTGACCTGGATTCTCCATGGACTTCACCACAACCTGCTTCATCTGATTACTCTGACCTTGGCCTGTTTACTGGACTTGCCTCTTCCTTCTGATTCCGTACTGCTTTGCCTGCCTGTTACCAACCTTGGCCTGCCTCCTGGACCTGTTCTGTCTGCCAATTCTGTCCCATGCTGTCCAGCTGTCGCTGACTACTACCCAGCCTTGCTTCCATCTCCTGCTCTGCTGCTTCAGCATCCAGTCCTGAGGACTGCGCCTTCCAGCTATACCCACCTAAAGAGCAGACATCACCAGCCAGCTACCTTCAGCACTTATGTCACTTTGTGCGCACGCACTCTCTCCACCTTGGAGTGTTGGGCAAGAGGTGAAAGAGAGGCCTTCACTACATTCCATTCTTCGCCAGGTGCGTGATACCTATGCTGCACACATTCATACATATACTTAAAATACACATACAGTTGCACTGTAGTCGCAGCCAGAACAGACCTAAGGTGTGATTGGGGAAACAAGTGGAAATTAAGGGTTGGGGAAGGAGTAAGGCAAAAACAAGGGAGGAACACAAGAGTAAGGCCAAAGTGAGGGAGGAACATAGGCATGAGGCCAAAGCAGGGGAGGAGCATAGGAGTGAAGCCAAAGCAGGGGAGGAACATAGGTGTGAGGCCAAAGCAGGGAGGAGCATAGGAGTGAGGCCAAAGCAGGGGAGGAGCATAGGAGTGAGGCCAAAGCAGGGGAGGAACACAGGCGTGAGGCCAAAGCAGGGGAGGAGGATAGGCATGAGGCCAAAGCAGGGGAGGAGCATAGGAGTGAAGCCAAAGCAGGGGAGGAACATAGGCATGAGGCCAAAGCAGGGGAGGAACATAGGCGTGAGGCCAAAGCAGAAGAGTTAACATAGGCATGAGGCCAAAGTAGAGGAGAAACACAGAAGTGGGGGCAGATCGAGGGAAGAGCACCACAGGAGTATGGCAAAAGTGGGGGAGGAACATAGGCATGAGGCCAAATCAGGGGAGGAGCACAGGAGTGAGGCCAAAGCAGGGGAGGAGCATAGGCGTTAGGCCAAAGCAGGAGAGCAACATAGGCGTGAGACCAAAGTAGGGGAGGAACATAGGCGTGAGGCCAAAGCAGGGGAGGAACATAGGCGTGAGGCCAAAGCAGAAGAGGAACATAGGCATGAGGCCAAAGCAGAAGAGGAACATAGGCGTGAGGCCAAAGCAGAGGAGAAACACAGGAGTGAGGACAAATCGAGGGAAGAGCACAACAGGAGTATGGCCAAAGTGGGGGAGGAGCACAGGAAAAGAGACCACATATGGCTAAGGCAGTAGTGGAGGAACATTGTAATTAAAATGGGGGACACTTGAAAAATATGTAAATGTGGGGTAGACAAAGGAGTAAGGAACAAGGGAAATGTGCCTACAAACAGGAAACATCAGCCTGACTCAGGCTTGTTTTTAGGTGCCTCCATGATACCAGTTGATGCTCCCCAGCCAAGTCTGCTTAAGGGAAAGTGGATTGAATGGATCTCTTTGACCAATCACTGTTGTTTTTCCTTTTAGGAACAGACTTGCAAGTTCACCCAAATATGAACTTGCACATCCAAGAAAAAATAACTCATTGGGAGAAAAGCCGGAAAATGTAAATTCAGGTTAAGCAGAGGGGTAAAGGCAGGGCTGGCCGGAGGAATACACAAAGCAATATGTTTTGCAATCAGATTTATCAGTTTTGACACTTTGATGAATGAGACTCAATCCAGTTTTATCTTCTTGCGTGTTACCTGCGGAGGTTCATAAGGGACCATCACACTTTGTCTTCCGGTTGCGGGGTCATCTACATATTGGGATAGGTTATTGCCCTCCACACGAATCAGGTGACTTGCAGGTGCCGACTGACCTGAAAAAAACAAAAATGATCCAAAAATGATTAAACAATGATAAAGTAGAAAGACTTGTCATCCTCAGAGATTTCCGGAACATCTCTGGGAACATTTTTCAGAAGCATATTAACCAAGGCACTGAGATATTCTTCTGCTTGCATCAGGGTTGTGCTCATTTTTTAAATTACTTATTACAAATTTTCATTGCTGTTGTTTTATCTCAATAATGGCCCCTTTATGTTTCTTTTATACATGGAGTCCTATCAATCTATATTCAAGTAAGTTCTACGACTGATCAGGTGCTAGTAATAAGGGCGTACACTCGGAGATACACTATACCAGGGGTGGCTAACCTGTGGCTCTCCAGCTGTTGTGGAACTACATTTCCCATGAGGCATTGCAAAGATGGGAAGTTACTGACTTGCAGAGGCATGATGGAACTTGTAGTCCTGCAGCAGCTGGAGAGCCGCAGGTTGGCCACCCCTGCACTATACAGTTTTCTCCCCAATTTCCTTTAGATTTACCTTTGACTATGTGGTGCAAGGGCCCGCCTAATTGGATACCACTTTAAGTGTCCACTTTAGGTTTGACTTCATATTATATGGTTTTTGGTCAATCTAAAGCAAAATTCTCAAAAAAATGGTATAATGTATGGCTATCTTTAATAAACATGCTGGCTGGGAAAACAGCGGATGTACAGAACAAGGATCTGTAGTGCCTTTCCAGTGAGTGTAATGTGTATGGCAGAGGTGTCAAACTACATTTTGTCACGGGCCATATCAGCATTATGGTTGCCCTTAAAGGGCCAGTTGTATCTGTAAGAGCACCCCCCCCCCCCTTCCCAATTACATCAGAAGTCAAGAATCCCACACCCTCCCTAACATCACCATGCACCCCCTTTGGGGGGCAGAGCTGGAAAGCAGAAAGCGCTCTGCTGAGATAAGGTGGGGGTGAAGACAAAGGGGTACCTGCAGGAGAGGTGCAAGGGCCACATGAAATGGCCTGGAGGGCCGAATTCGGCCCATGGGCCTTGTGTTTGACACCTGTGGTGTATGGTTTGCCTGAAAATGATGTGGACTTTCCGACTGTTGTATATTTTCATTATGATATTTCATACATAGAGCTGTAGACTCTACCATGCAGTGTATTCAGCTTCCCTACTGAAATAGAGCTGAGGCTGCAGGATAGGCAACATACAATGGGTAATCCCCATCTCCCATTTACATGGCGGATCTAAATATATACTGTATACCTAAAAATGAACTCCTAGCAACCAACAGTTGAAATATTTGAACAGTTTTATCAGCCAATGGATTTGTAAGTTTGTTCATCCAAATCTCAGACCTCCACTGTAGCACCATAGCTTGGTCTAGAACAGTGTTCCTCAACCTTTTTTCAGTCAAATCACCCTTGAAAATGATGGACAGTCCCAAGGCACCCTTTAAAATGATGGACAGTCCCAAGGCACCCTTTAAAATTATTGACAGTCCCAAGGCACCCTTTAAAATGTCATACAGTCCCAAGGCACCCTTTAAAATTATGGACAGTCCCAAGGCACCCTTTAAAATTTCACACAGTCCCAAGGCACCCTTTAAAATTATGGACAGTCCCAAGGCACCCTTTAAAATTATGGACAGTCCCAAGGCACCCTTTAAAATTTCACACAGTCCCAAGGCACCCTTTAAAATTATGGACAGTCCCAAGGCACCCTTTAAAATTATGGACAGTCCCAAGGCACCCTTTAAAATTTCACACAGTCCCAAGGCACCCTTTAAAATTATGGACAGTCCTAAGGCACCCTTTAAAATTTCACACAGTCCCAAGGCACCCTTTAAAATTATGGACAGTCCCAAGGCACCCTTTAAAATTATGAACAGTCCCAAGGCACCCTTTAAAATTTCACACAGTCCCAAGGCACCCTTTAAAATTATGGACAGTCCCAAGGCACCCTTTAAAATTATGGACAGTCCCAAGGCACCCTTTAAAATTATGGACAGTCCCAAGGCACCCTTTAAAATTTCACAGTCCCAAGGCACCCTTTAAAATGATGGACAGTCCCAAGGCACCCTTTAAAATTATGAACAGTCCCAAGGCACCCTTTAAAATTTCAGACAGTCTTAAGGCACCCCATTCTAAAATGTGAACAACTATTCTACTAGTTTTACATAACACAGCAACATCCACACATGTAGGACACCCAACATTAGAGGTGATTTCTTCTTCCAAAGTAAATACACTTTTGCACACTGGTACTGACTAGTATTCCAGTGTTTCTCTTCTCCCTCCGTTTTTCTCCATCACTGAGCTAATGTGACCCCAGAACTGATGGGAATGGGCGGGGGAGGGTCAAACTAGGATGCTGTGCAGGCAGCCAACATCCTCCTTATCAACTGATGATGTCATTGGTTGTCAGGACGCCGGCGGCTAGAAGGTTGTAATGGTGCACATTGAAAACCTGTGGCTTCGTGTGACTAAAAGTCAGGCTTGTTCCACCCGCTGGCTTGTATACAAGTTTTGGGCAATTTTTAGACATTTTGCCAAGGCACCCTGGTTGAGAAAGGCTGGTCTAGAACTCCCCCCAGCCTACCTATTGGATAGCAAAGAGATAAAATCTCCCCTCTGTTCAGTCTACCATTTATATTTTACTATACGCACATGTACACTCCAGCAGACACTGATTGGTTACCAGTGCTGCTGTGCAGAGTATTGCAGGAAGCTGATACAAAGATAAATGTTGGTATTTTACACTAGCTGCATCAAAAATACATTTGTAAGGAATGC